TTTTTTATTGAATGATTTGATTTTGTGGAGTCATTTTGATTAAAAAAACACTCAGTATTCCAAGTATTCTTTAAGTATCTGACTACCTGGCGGCTATACTTCATTATGCAATTGTCATAAAGCCTTAAGATTTTATATCTTTATGTATGCAGCAATTAAGATTTTATATCTTTATGTATGCAACAATGTTATGAAAAATGGATATATTTAGTTGTTCAACTTTAATTGTGTTTAAAGCCTAGTTTTTTTGGAGGTTTTAGTTTTGGCAGCATATCTTATCATATCTTTAGTTTTGGCAACATATCTTAATTTATATAAAAAGTTGTTTCAATTTTTTTTTGTAAGTTAAATGTATGTAATATAATAGTATACATTTAGTCTAAGTTTTTCTATTTTTTTTCAATTTATTTTAATTTTTTTGGACGTTTTTACTTTCTTTAAAATAAAAAAAAACTACTTGATCGGTTAAAATGGTTAACAGCCCCAATTAGTCCAGTTCTGGTTCAAGCCGCTCCCACCCTAAAAAACGGTTAACTGTTTTGGTTCGATTATGTGAACATTGGTTGAGATGATCAATTTGATGATATTTGGGCAACAAAACAATCTCTTCTAGCGAAATTTTTGAGATAGGTTCTAATTTTATTGTTTAGAGCCTAGGCTCTATATAAACTTTTCCCTTTATAATATTATAGTATATAATGGCATGTAAATAAGAGAATGTTTTGGAGCACTTTTGAACGCTCTATGTAAACCCTACACAAAAAATTACTACATCTCAAAAAAAAATAAATACAAATGTCTACTCAGTGCAAGATCGGAGTTAGTGTTTCTAGAGCGCAATAGTATTTTATTATTTTTAGGAAAATTTATTTAGATCTCTCTCGTATTTTAAGAATTTTTTTTTAAAATTATCTAATATCATATTTTACATTCATGTCCCACTTTTTGAAAGCATGTATTGTATTCTAACTTTATTTTTTTCCTTTTTACATTGAATTTTGCTAAAATATTAGATGCACGTACTTATATGAGAGAGAGAGAGAGGAGCGAATTCTAGTGCATTATAGAACTTTGATAAACTCCACTTAATCCCTCTTTCACGGCCACATATTGTTTCTTTCTGGCTAAGGAATAAAAAATCTTTCTTCGAGTATATGAATCAAATGTTTGATTTCATCCACAAAAAACTCTCGTTCTCACCAATATTTTTTCCATTTGATCCGATAGTATCTATTTTTAGAATAGCATTTAATCCAATAGCATTCCATTAGATAGGAACATATTTGATAAATACTGATAACTCTCGGATAATATATTAGAATGGAAAGATCCATTGAACTATTGGTGTTGAGCCATCCCTACTTATGAATAGCAATTCCGAGTGCATTTATCTCATATTCTTGATCGTCTAGCATAGAGGAATTTGTTTAGGAAGCAATAAGCCCCTTACATCTCTTCATCTGCAGAGAATTTCAGCGTGCATCTCCAATGATCTAAGACTCTTTGACATCCTCCACGTAAATGACCAAGATGCCTCCGGTTTGTTATGAGATTTGGGCTCTTGGCTTTTGTAGATAGAGGCATGATGATACGGGTGGCAATGGACCCGGACTTGAGGGTTAGGTTTGATCCAAGTCTGAGTATAAGTTCAAAATTGGATCTTACGGGTTGGGCCCGGGTCTAGATTTTGGACCCAAATACTATCTGAGTCTTGATCTGGCCGAACCCAGACCTAGACCCAGACCCGACCTGACCCGACCCGACCCAACCCATTGCCACCCCTACACGAGGGCCGCACTAATTCCCAAGGTTCGCATTCTAAATGCTTGAAACAAAAGGAAAAGAAAGAAGAGATCCATTTTATGGCATGCATTTTGAATCATTTCGCCAATATATGGACTTTGCTACTAAAATATCTTAGTCATTAGATCACAAGGCGTTGAAACTTCAGATGGACATTTTGTTGTGTTTGTTTGTCTTATTGGATAGGGGAATGTTTGAACTTTTCAAGAACAGGAAGAGCCATGATTGACAATCTTTTTTTCCTTTTGTTTTTTATCATCCCAAATTGTATTACATTGAATAAAAGAGCCTGAAGGAGAGCGCAAAAGATTTCGATTGGAAAGTAGCCAAAATCAAAATAAAAATAAAAAAATAAATAAATGGGGAATTTGTTTAAATATTTATTAGAGATGAACTATTCAACCTTATATCTTACATATGTTCATCCTCTTCAAACAAGCTTTGAGATACTCAATGAGGGTTGTTTGTTGTTTTATTAAAGGTCAAAACCATCCAATCCCACCGATTACATATAAAAATAAATAAATTTGAAGGTGAAAACCGTTGACCCCCTCCTTTCTAACAACATGCGTGTTTCTCCTATATTCTAATACTGGGTCTCACTGCAAAACCATGGGCATCGGGTATCCCCCTCTCTCACAATATGCTCACTTCTCTCTTTCACATTTGCCTTTTGTTCTTCTTTTTTTTTTCGAAGGCTGCACCCCATAACAAATATGGTTCAGGCGTTGAAAAACATTGATTTGTTTTTTATTTTTTAAAAAGATTATATCTTTCATACGATTGAAATCACAAATACTTATAGCTATTCGATATGAAATCTAATAGTTTGGATATGTCAAAAAGTTTAACCTATAACGAAGTCCTAAACTCCATTCCGATAAACCCAAATAAAATCATTAACAATGGACAAAGTATTTTGTACCACTAAGACCTGTAACGAAGTTCCAGACTCCATTCTGACGGGCCCAAATCCCCACTAACTAACCTTTTAGGAATTGGGCTTGATTCTAAAAAAGCTGTCTCAAGTTCTATTCCTAAGGCCCCATCTCCACTTAACCAAAAAAACAAAAAAATCTTTAAAAATATATTTTAATCATCTACATCAAAAAGTAGCACAAATGGTTTTTTAATCCGGTCCCACATTGACATGCCCCAAAAAGGATCAAAGTATTTTGTAAGGAACAAACTATTTTGTAATGCTGACTCTATATATTCGCACGATAAATATCATCTTAAATATCTTGGAAAATCAATAGTAAAAAAAATGTACAAATCAATGATCACCATCTAAAAACACAACCATTATTTTAAAAAAAAAAACAAGATTTCAAGCCTTAATAAAAAGTGAGTGATATATTTTTTCTATTCACAAAACTGTGAAATCTGCATTAATTTTAGAGCTTCAAATTCTATAATAAAATAAATAAATATTTTTTTAAGCCATCACAAATTAAAATAAATAAATATTTTCTTAAGCCATCACAAGAGTTATGGAGAAAACTGTAATTTGTAATAGAGTTTTGAAATAAGATGGATACAGAAAAGGTTGAGATTAAAGTAAGTCTAACCTTTTATAAAAAAAAGGTAAAACCTCACCGTAACACTCGTTAAAACCGGTATCCAAATACTTTCGTCATTATGGTTGTAAGAAAAATTATTATTTCTAATGTTAAAAATATTTTTAATTTTAAAAATAATATATAGTGTACTGCATTATAAAGACCATCCATTTTCAAGTGTTTATAAATCCACAAGATTGTTATCATGTTTTTTAAAGGCATGGTTTTGGTGAATCAACCGACTCACCTATTATCATACAGTCCCTTGTATATCTAACCTCCATCTTTAAGATGGATGTCAAAAAATGTTACATCCACTAAAAGCTAAAATGGACGGTGACGAAAAGACTTCAAATAATAACACTTATAAATAAAAAATTCTAAATTAAGATAATTGTCAGGGTTGATATTCCTGAACTCTTAAGTTTTGAATTGAAAATATATCTTTGAGATATATTTTGTAGGGAGAATGCATAAAATCGTGCGAGTTGGCCAACTCACCAATCTTTTCCTTTTTTCCAACTATAAATTTCATAATCCGATGCGGAAATTGATCCTAGAGCTATAATAATTGGGGTGGCAATGGACCTGGACCCGACTCATATCCGGTTCCAAAAATTGGATCCAGTGAGTAGGATCTAGGTTCAAATATTGGACCCGAATAGTATTTGGGTTTGGGTTGGGTCCGAGTTACATAATTTTTTTTGTATCCGAGGTGTCTTTTAAGAAAGACACAATTTCTACAATAATTGTTTTATGCGGGTTGGATCGCATTTGTACAATATGCGGTCCAAAGGTATAAAGCATCGATCATTACGATGGACGCAAATAGGTGGTCTATCTAAAACCAATTGTAACTAACGGTCCAAATATTTTTTAATGTAATTATTATTTTTAGATTTCATAATTTATTTATTTATATATATTTATGATTTTCATAATAAATATTATATATTTTTTTTAAAATTAAAATCAAATTATATTTAAAAAAATATATTTATTGCCAGGCCCGCATTTGTACATGTGCGGGCGCCTGATAACCCCGTCCGTCCGAATTTCTATGCGACACTTTGCTTCGTTTTGTGGGGAAGGGCATATGGCTTGTAGAAAGTGCATTCCTTGACTATTTGACTTTCGGTTTCACCCCTCTCGCTCTCTTGTTTGGTGGGCGGGCCCAGAAAAGAGAGCACCCCCTGCGGCCACATGCGATATTCGCAACGTCGTGGCGCAAACACCTGTCACTTTCTCAACGGTCCGATCGCCCAGAGCTGCGCGAGCTTTAAGCCAGGCATCCCGTACTGTCCTCTCATGTTGTTAGATGGTTGAAACCTGTGTGTGCGAGCGAACAAGGTTTAGAGAGAGAAACAGAGGACGGGTTCGCTGGGGGGAAGAGAGAAAAAGTTTAGAGAGAGACAGAGAAAAGAGCAGATTTCTTTGGTTGTGTGGGCCGCAGATCGAGTTAGGGCTTCGGTCTTTCTCTTTCTCACTCTACAAAGCCTCATCTCAATTGCCATTATTCTTGCTTCACTCTCATTTCCATTTCTTCATCCTTCATTCTCATTCATTAGCCCTCAAATTAAAGCCCCTAATTATCAGTTGTTTATCGGATTTTTTCATTTTTCATTTTTCATTTTCACTTTTCGATTGCACTAGCCTGGTCAGTGTTCCCTGTTAGACAGTGAGTGAGAGAGAGAGAGAGAGAGAGTTGTGGTTGTGTTCAGGAGGATCGAGGTTTTTAAAGAGAGAATGGCAAATATTGACATAGAGGGAATTTTGAAGGAGCTCCCCAACGATGGGCGGATACCAAAGACTAAGATCGTTTGCACCCTCGGACCTGCTTCGAGGTCTGTTCAGATGATTGAGAAGCTCTTGAGGGCTGGCATGAACGTTGCGAGGTTCAATTTCTCTCATGGAACTCATGAGTATCATCAGGAAACCCTAGATAATCTCAGGATCGCTATGCAAAACACTCAGATCTTATGCGCTGTCATGCTGGATACTAAGGTTTGTTTATCCTAATTTTTGGAATTGGGGTGTGTTTTATTTTTCTAATTTTTTTTCCCATTTTCCCATTTTGGTATTGCGTAGATGGAGTTATATTGAAAGCTGTTTTTTTATACATGAGTTGATTATCAATCAAGGGTTTGGCAGAAATGCAGCTAATTTTGTAAAACATAACATAAGCAACAATTTCTGCCAAAACCCTTGATTGCTAATCAACTCATGTACCTTTCTATCCAAAAAAAAAAAAAAAGAGAGATAAGAGAAAGTAGACTTAGGAGGCACCAATAGGCGATAGGAGAAAGTAGACTTAGGTGGGCTGTGGCGCCGACCAAGTACAACACCTGGTAGGAGTTGCGAGTTAGACTTAGATGTGCTGGCAATGTGTGGCGCTGAGGTGCTGAGGTGTGAGTTAGTTGCAACGACTGAAAAGGGGCCAAAAGGACTTGGTTGGAAGTACTAAGATATGGGGATTTATGGAAGAGAACATAATGGCGATCAGGATTGACCTCAAGTAATTGGAAAAAGGCTATGATGATGATGACTTTGTAAAGCAATTTTGATCTTATGGAATTTTTATTGAATAGTTCTGAATTTGGGTGGTTTTCCTGCTAATATGGCGATTTGGAGCTTGGTATATCAGTTTGAGGTTTTCTAATTCAATGTATTTAATCCTCCTAAATTATCCAACAATCTAATCTTCTATTAGACACCCTATTACTTGTGTTTTCTGCTATTTTCTCTAATTTTCTGTTATCATTTGAGTAGGGATTTCATTTGGCTAGAGTGTTTTTGAGTAAAAGAAAGTTAATGCTGTTTCACTTGAGCTGTTGAACATTTTAATATTACTGGAGTATACTGAATCTTGATGGGGTGCCTGTTTTATCTGCCCTTCTGCATTTATGGTTTTGCTCGAATCAGATTTATGTCATCGGGTAGGGGTGAATGAGCCAATTAGGTGTGAGGGAAAATAATTATTGAATTGCTTTCTTAGGCTTGTGTATTCCTATTTCGAACACTGAGAAATACTAGGATAGGGTTTGAGGATATCCCTTTTCACCTATTTATCCGTTTTTTTTTTCCCATTAAAAGTTTATAGTGAATTTTCTCTTGTCACAAGAGTTAAAATGCTTGATACCATTGTGATGCACCATGGGTTTTTCAGAATGTTGGGCTCTAAGTTAAAGAAGGTGGAGTCAAGGGAATATTAGTCAATCTTCTGCTAAGTTAGCATATTCGGAGGAATGGTTTAGCAAATAACCGTCTGTTATTTGCTGAACCATCGATTAGTAGCTTTAGCTCTCATGTCCTAAACAGAAAAATTTGATGCTAAGGTTAATCCGATTGAAACACAATTTGTTTTTGGAATGTTAATGTGCTTAATCATGAAAGAGCTTATCCAGTCTCTCTGATGAATCATTTCAGAGAAATAAATGTTTCCATGGAGCCAAAGTTTAAATCAAGATAGCCATCAAAGAAATTTAAATATGGATGTTTCTTTACTTTTTTGAGGGATACATTTCATCCCTTGATGTCAATGAATTGTAGCTATGAATCAGATATCTCTCCAGGTTCAGAAGAACAGATTTCTTATTTTTGTGTCACAGCCAAAATAATATACTTTGCATTTCACTTGTATTCTTATCTCACTACCTCTTCATTGCAGTTTTGGTTGTTCTCAACAACAGTGTGTTATATGTCAATTCTGGTATTAAGTGTCAACTTCTCCTAGGCACCATGCCACTCCAAGTGGTTTATTGGCTTCTCATAAGTACCTAGGTGCGAAATAGGTGGATCATGATTGATTTATAAATTATAACAATGGATGGGCTGATGACATGTTTTTATAAAAAATAAAATAAAGTTATCGTGAATTCTAAGAGTATGATAGTTTTTCTATTAAACTGCTGTCTTGTTACTCGTTTTGATGGAGATTTCGGGTGAACTACCATTATGCCCTATTTGTGAATAATGAGCATGAAGTTTCAACTGTAGCTTCTGTTCTTTCGTCCAAAAAAAAGAACTGTAGCTCCTGTTGTTTCCAAGTGGAGGTCAATGTCAGCTTGCTGCACCTTCCAATTATTTAAGTTTTGGGCTGCAACATATCTCAAGAATGGCATACACACATGAGAGGCTATACTTAAGAAAATAATTGTCTGTAATTTACAGTTGTGCAGAATTTTGTTTTGCGAAATTTATTTTTGACGTCATATGACCTTTATTTGATTACACAAACTCAAATATGCTCTAAATATACAATCTGATAATCAAAAAAATAAAATCTGATGATCAACTGCAAAGTTATTTAAATGTGAATCAGTGAATGATTACTAAAGTCATTGATGATTGACAACAAATTTGGATTTGGCATATTCCAAAAGAAACTTGTACGCTAACTCTTTTAATAGTGTTGACATCATGGAAACATTAGAAAATGCTTTAAAAGGAACAAAAGAAGATCAACTGCAAAGTAATTTAAATGTGAATGCTTACTGAAGTTACTGATGATCTTTAGTATCTCTTGGACACAAACTTTGTGATAATGATTTGGCATATTTACTCCGAAAGAAACTTGTATGCTGACATTTTTAAAGTATTGACATCATGGAAATATCAGAAAATGCTTCAGAATTTAATTAATATAATTATGATATTAGGGAAACTAAAAAGTTAAATGTTTGATATCCATTGTTAACGTCACGATTATTACATCACAAATCACAGATAATCCGATTTTGGTGGTCTATTTTTTAGTGTTGCTGTTTGGTTACATGCTTCTGTAGTACTCGTGTGACTTTGAGAAACAAGATGTAAAATAATTTAGATGTGAGAATATCTAACTCTCTCTCTCACTCACACACACACACACACACACACCCACACCCGAGAGAGAGAGAGAGAGAGAGAGAGAGAGAGAGAGAGAGAGAGAGAGAGAGAGAGAGAGAGAGAGAGAGAGAGAGAGAGAGAGAGAGTAGTAGTAGTAGTAGTAGTAGTAGTAGTAGTAGTAGTAGTAGTAGTAGTAGTAGTAGTAGTAGTAGTAGTAGTAGTAGTACGTACGTAGTACGTACGTA